CCCCTTCTTTCCCCCTTACCTTTACCCTCCTCTCTCCTGAGCTCGGCTTTTGCCTCTGTAACTTGTTTCCTGAGCCCATTTCTTCTACCACTCACTTCTACTTCTGTGGCTTTCTCATTAGAGTCTGAGTCTTGGCTCTGAATTCTTTCCTATCCAGAATTTAGGAACTGAGGTTGCTGAACCAAGCAAGGTGGGGTGCGAGCCCGTGGTCCATGGGTCTAACACCTGGTGCAGTTCTCAAAGCCATCTGCCTAAACACTGTTTAGCCCACTCACCAATCTCCGCTCAGATGCTCTTCCTGGTTTGGCTCTACCGCTTCACCAAGGAAGATTCTACCTTATTTTCCTTTCTTTGACCCTTGAGCCACCTCAAGAAAACAACCAGATCGACCGCCCTGCTTTATGGCTGTTATACACAGATGTTGATTTATGTCTATAAATAGAACATTAAAGGCATTGCCACTGTGTCAGCAGCCTGCTGAGCTCTTAGACCAGGGCTTTCCTATGCCTTCGCTTCACCCTCAACACGACTGAAACATCATAATACTTGTTAAGTATATAATAAGCGAGGTGGTTGCACATATATATGGCCAGAGTTGACCACCATGATGGGAGCATCAGTGGCTTCCCTAGGTCTGCTAGGCCTTCTGAGGGCTGATAGGAAGTTACTCTGCCTCCCTCCTCACCCCCCCCAAAAAACCCTTTGTCCACTTGGTATACCAAGTTGGGGAGTTCTGTGGAGGTTCAGGCAGGCCCCATTTTAACACCCACTTATCTAAGCCTTTAGGTGACTCCAATCGTAGCCCTCCTCCACATACCAGCCTAGTTCAAAATCAAGGCTAAACTTGTCTCTCCAAAGACCCATCCTAGATGAGAAGGAATGAATCCTAGCTATGAAAGCTGAAACGTGATGTTGGATTTGTAAGGCACCTGCAGGATTTCCTGTGGACTATCACTTGAGGATGGCTTAAAACTACTGAAAAGAAACACCTCTAAAGCAACATTGTACAAGTAATGGGACTATACACTAGAGCAGGGGTGGGGAACGTCCAGCTTGAGGGCTATATCGTTTGGTCTGGCCCTACCAAGGCAACTGAAGGTGGGATTTGAATTTAATAAATCTAGGAGCGTTTTTCATAGCTAATTTTTAAGTTGATAAT